AGCCGTGTCTCCCTGCACGTCTAGATTGGTTCACTTCTGTTTCAATTTCATTTTCTTGATTTCATTTCAGCTTCCAAGAAGCCTCTCCCTCCTACCCCTGAAGACAACCGGGTGAGTGCAGCGCGGCAGGTCACGCCTGAGCATCCAGTGAGGTTGCACTGGTGAAAACATCCCTTTTAAGACTCTCCAGTGGATGATGGGGTTCCCTGAGATATGCATGCCTTTGATCCTTTGGGGAGTCTTCTCTTGCTCTCTCACATGTTTTCTTAAGCCGCACATAAGCGGCACCTCTTGGGCTCATCAGCTTTGTCATACAGCAATGGGCTCAAGCTGCAACAAGGGACGCTGAGGTTGGATATTAGGAAAAACTTTCTCCCGAGGAGGGTGGTGAAGCACTGGAGCAGGTTACCCAGAGAGGTGGTGCAGTCTCCATCCTTGGAGGTGTTGAAGCCCCAGGTAGACAAAGCCTTGGCTGGGATGATGTAGTTGGGGCTGGTCCTGCTTGGAGCAGGGGTTGGACTAGAGACTCCTGAACTCCTTCCCAACCCTCATTTTCTGTAATTCTTTTATTTGAAGGCCTGTTGCTCTGCTAAGTCCCCACCTCACTGGGGCACTTCAAACATAGTTTTCAAGACACGGGTGAGCAAGCACAGGCCCACTGTTAACTAGTCCTTATGCTTCTCCCGTAGACTGAAGTTACTGTTATTCAGAAAGGTTGCAAAACCCCTGTTCCCAGCATCCTCCACCGACATCTCCCATCATTTTCCAGTGTAGTTCTCCTACACCTTTCACTTCACAGTTGCCTGCGAACCATCTCATTAGAGGTTAGCAGCTAATTGCTCTGTGTCTGATCAGGTTATGGGTTTTCTTTTGTGCAGAGGTTATTGCTAGACCCCAAGGAAGCTTTAATGATGGCCATCTATGACTACATGGCCCAAAATCCCCGGGAGCTGACGTTACAGCGCAACGAAGAGTACTACATCATTGACAACTCGGAGGAGCGCTGGTGGATGGTTCAGGATAAGAATGGGTAGGTCCTTTTTCCACAGCCCTTCCAGCGATTTGCTTCCTCTTCCCAGTCCAAATGGTGCTAAGTAAATCACGACCAAGACTCAGATGCTGCTTCTCTCCCTCGCTTCGAGTCGCATCTTGGGCAACCGTTGTCCCATTGCCATCACCCACACGAATAACAGAGTAGGATACCCACCAGCACGTATTAAGATTAATTTTTTCTGGCTACCCCATTATAACAGCTGCGACAGCAACAGGCTTTCAGACAGCAGAGTCACATATCTGACACACAACGGACAGCAATAGGGGCAGTTTCCCTGTGCTAACACCCCCTTCTCCTTTTAACAGGCATGAAGGCTATGTACCAAGCAGTTACCTGGTAGAAAAATCACCAGACAACCTTCAGATATATGAGTAAGTTGCTTCAATTTACTTCTTTGGTCTTTTTGAGTTTCAGCACAGGAGCTGTGACAGGACACTGGGGTGACTTTGTGTAGTCATGTGCATTGTGGGCAGTTGTGTTGTAGAGCCACTGTGTTTTGCGCATAGCGTAGGACGATGCTAGGTAGCAAGCAACTGGAATCAAACTTCCCTGAAGTCGTGCCACAAAAGACGAGGCAGCACATTGTGGCCATGCCATTATTCCTGGGCACTTTGTACTTCCGATGATGTGACCATTATGGCTCGAGTCTACAAGTCCTACTACTCATAAACCAGGGTCAAACACAGACGTTCTTGTCCTTGGAAATATTTTTGTCCAGCTGAAGTTGGGATATTTCAACCTTAATACTGAAGGAGAGGTGAGAGGGAGGATGGGAATAGGCCATGAAAGATCTTGGAAGTGAAGATAAGTCTAGTGTAGACAGACCATCAATTTGTCATGGCCAATGGGGGTCCTCCCGGGTAAAGCTTTGTCTTAAAAACCTCCAAGGATGGAGAGTCCACCACCTCTGTGGGTAACCTGCTCCAGTGCTTCATGAGAAAATTTCTCCTAATATCTAACTTAAAACTTCCCTTGCTGCAACTGGAAACCATTACTCCAACTAGGGTTGCCAACTCTGCTGGGACGTTTCATCACACACCATAATGACATGAATGACTAATCTACTGTACGGTGCCTAGACTTTACAGGCAATGCACACAACTAATACATTTTAAATACCCGCTGGATTACTGTATAAATCAGAGTCAACATTTAATATTTATTTTAAAGAATGCCCTATCATTTCTCTCCCGGCTGACTCTCAGCAGTCTCCTGGAAATGTATATCCACCTCCACGAGACTCCAGAGCAATCCTGGAGGGTTGGCACGCCTGGCTCCAACATGAGACTAGGCTGTTTTCAGTCTGCCGTTGTTTTTTCACACCAGCCAGAATGAATATTGCCCGTGCCATCACGTGTTTTCTTTACTATTACATTCAAGTTACTCTCTGGCTTTTTAAAGAGCTTTGTTTTGCGAGCAAAACATAGCGATCTGTAATTATGATCAGTCCAAAACTGCTGGAGCAGGGTTTAGCTGCAACCATAATAAGCGGGGGTGCTGACTATGCTGTTCTGGTGTTTTCAGATGGTACAATAAGAACATCAACAGAAACCAAGCAGAAGCGCTGCTGAGGCAGGAGGTAACATGGTGTGACTTTTTATTGACTCGGGGCGGGGTGGAAAGAGGGTTTTTCGATGGTTTTGCTGTAACCGGTTGCGGATGAGGGTGGACGCTGGGGAATGCATCTGGTTAATGGATTGGGTTTTCACCCCGGCGGCTGGCTCCACCAGTGGAAAAGAGCTTGTGGGGCTGGTTCTCACCTTTACAAAATCTGTATCGGTGGATAACACCCATCGCTTTGCTGGTTTGGCAGCGATGCTTTATGTGGTGCCCTGGATTAAAGCCTGCATCGAGGTGCTTTGGCAGAGCTCTGCTAGGAAGGATGCCACGGGTCCTGCCGCCTCCGCTGCCCCGAGCCCGCAGGCTTGTTGCTGGAGCGAGCCCCTTCCCACGAAGCCCCATTGCTTTTTTGTTTTTAATTGTCTTCCCTCCGCTGAAGATGTCAATACTGTGCTGGAAAAGAAGCCCCCCTAAAACTGAAATATTGTGGCAGCAAAGCCAACCCCTCGTCCGGGTTTTGCAGCTTCAGCCGTTAGGATTTTCCTCTGGAAATTGCAAGGAAGTAGGAAAAAAAAAAACCCCCAAATCCTCTTTCGCTGGCATTTTCCAAAGAAACCAAGCCCTTTTTTCTCACCAGCTTTAATAGCAGCAAAGCGACTGGGTCTGACTGAGGTGCTGCTTCTTAGAGCAGGGGCACGTCTATGGGAATAAAGCCACTTTTTAAAAAGGAAAGAAATGTCCTCTAAACTCCCACAGGATGCATCCACAGACTTCTGAGTGAGGTGGTTTCTCCTCTCGGTCCCTTCTCTGTGACCGTGCTGATGCTGCCGTTGTTGCTACCAAGCCTATTTGACCCCACCAGCATCTTCAGAAGATGTGGCTAGGTCTGCGAGCGATCCTTGGCCAGCGTTTCCTGTCATGTACAGCAAGAAGGGGCAAGAACGACGTTCAAAGTAACCCAAGGTCATGCTCTGTGTCTCAGGGCGGCTTGACCAAAAGGACTCTCACTTTGCATATATACTTCAGTAGCATCCATAGGCATCCACAGTCAGGACCAGAGATATACGTGGTAAAGACACAGCCCCCTTGCTGGAGTGTTTATTGCCCAGGGCCGTGACCCAGAGGTGGAGAGCAGGGGAAGGTGAAGGAGTTAAATATTTTTACGTTGTTAAAATCAACAGAGAATAAATAGAAATGAAAAACCTCATCGCCGCAGACAAAAGAGGGAACAAAACCACCACCCGGTTTGGGCCGCTTCTGGAGACAAAGCAAGGCAAGCTGCAACTAGAGGGAATCACCTTGGTATCGATGAAGGAACAAGAGATCAATACTGAAATAAAATGGAGCAGGGTTTGCTCTATATTATGCCTGATCACTTCAGGGTAATTTCATGTGTTTTAGCACTCAGATGAATAGGAAAAAAAAACCCTAAAGGAAACCAGTAGAACAAAATTTATTAATTAAGAGGCCAGAGGACCCATCCGATCCTACCAGTCCGCCCGGGGTATATTTGGAAATGGCAGCAGACTGACAGCCAGAAGGATATTCTGGAGCAAATGTTTAAAGAGGTGTCAGTGGTATCCAGTAGTCACAACTAATTGGGTGCTTGCCCGTCCTCTTCCTACACCATTGTGTCCCCATGACAAAGCTCAGGGCACCAGAGCCATGCCGCCAGCCTGTTTCACCTCCCGTCGCCTATATAACCTCCCCTTTGCTCCTCTTCCAGGGTAAGGAAGGTGCCTTCATGGTGGTAGATTCAAGGCAGCCCGGCATGTACACGGTCTCCATTTTCACCAAAGCATTAAGGTAAGACTGAGCTTGGTGGTGTCTGCATTGATTGACAGACTGCACCGAGTAACTCACGGCGGGTTTCAGCCTCTGTTGTTGCTTTGTGTTGTAAAGGGAGGAGGGAAGGTGAATGGCAATGCTTGTGAAAACAAAGCATGAGTAATACCTGCACTGCTATTGATGGCTGAAAGTGGTATGGAAACTGCTCTGTGCAAAGCAGGATACATGGAGGTACTAGATTTAATGCACATTAACTTTCACGCACATTAATGCATTTCGACTAGATTTAATGTGCATTCACATTCATGCACATTCATGTGTTTGGACTAGATTTAATGCGTATTAACTTTCATGCACATTAATGCATTTGGGTTAGATTTAATGTGCATTCACATTCATGCACATTCATGCGTTTGGACTAGATTTAATGCGCATTAACTTTCATGCCCATTAATGCGTTTGGGCTAGATTTAATGTGCATTAACCTTCATGCACATTAATGTGTTTGGACCAGATTTAATGCGTATTAGCTTTCATGCCCATTAATGCATTTGGACTAGATTTAATGCGTATTAACTTTCACACGCATGAATGCGTTAATGTATGTGTAGATGTGCCCACAGTAGATAAAACCCAGTAGGTACATGACCTAGCAAGCACTTATGCATGTAATTGTCCCTCTGCCCTTGATAAAACTACATGTATGAAGAAAATTGCTCACATTTGTAAGCCTTTTCAGACTGAAGGCTTGTGAACGGATCAGAGAGAAGACACGACTAGAAACCAGTGAAAAGGTTTCGATAACCAGGCAGCACAATTTCAGAAGGAAGAGACAGAGATACCTAGTGGTGTTTGCTGCCCGTTCTCGGTGAGGGTTCACGGGCACCTTGCCCTCTCTAGAGATGATGCTACCTCGGAAATGAGAGGGTGGGAAGGACCAGTCACAGGGCTTTGGCTATGAAGTGACTGCAGGTCACCCCCATGTTCCTGCCACACTGAGGAGTCTAAAACTAGCCTTGCCTGGGAGTTGGATCCAGAGGCAACGTTCCTCCGTGCCTTGTCATTTGTGAACTAACTCCCAATTTCCTTTCTATTTCACCTTTTAAATCTGGCCTCTTCCTCCTGCTCTCAGACTGCAGATCTCCCTGCTCAGAGGAGTAAGAGGCCATAACACTTAACAATAGCAAATCCTTCTCTTCCAAGCTGCTAGATTTTGATGCTGATGTTTAAACAACACACGGCATGTCCCGTGCCTGGCAGAGGGAAAACTCAAATTGGCCCATGCTATTCCATGGAGCTTTTTCACTTCCATGTGCCGTCAAACATTGCGGAAACCCAGTGAGGGACCAGTTAGGAAAATCCCCAAGCAACCTGAGGCTGCCCTCTCCTCTTCCCTTCCACTGATTCCTGGGTTTTTGCTAGAGTCTGTTTTTCCTAAAGAAAGACTCTTCTTTTTCAGCAATGAAAACAGTCCCGTGATAAAGCATTATCACATCTACGAGACAAGCGATGTCCCCAAGCGGTATTACTTGGCAGAGGGGCACATGTTCAACTCTATCCCTAAACTTATCAACTACCATCAGCACAACGCGGGAGGTGAGTGGAGAAGGCCATGCCAGGACGTGGGCTGTTTTCTGGACTTTGTCTGGAAGCGGGGAAGGCTTTCAAGAACACTTGCCCTTAAAAAACCCCCATGAAGTGGGGATGCCTTTTTTCCCCAGCTCTCCTGGCTGTTTAGCTGGAAACCACAGATCTCATGGCACCCTTCGGTGATAGCAAAGTCATAATTGCAGAGCAGCCCCCACCACGAGCTCTTGATGCTGGTGTCCGAGGTCTTGTGTCATCTACCGGAGATTTCTTAATGGCACAGACACCCCGCGGTACCTATATCTCCCCCTTTACTTTGCATCAGTGCCTCTACCACTTTCTGGGGGGGGACATACCCCCTTTCCTCATTTGTTTTACTGCTGCACTTCATTCATGTCATAATAATGGGTAATACTTAAGATTCAAATGAAACTTTGACTCTTGCGGGGGGCGGGGGGGTCTGCAAAAAAAATTAAACTGGTTCATTGGAAGGAGCAATCCAATTGGAGACCCCCCCCAAGTTATTATTTTCAAAGCTTACAGGCAGGCTCTCATCTCAGGGTGATCATTAATAATTTAATAATCATTAAAAAATCCAGCACTGTATGTTGCTACCACCACGCTATCCCCTCTCACACTGCCTGCATAACAATGTAGAGCTGTTTTTCTTTTTCTCCCTTTTCCATTTCCCCTTTCCATTTTTTCTCTCTCTGAAGTCCCCTCTAGAAGCCCCCCCCGGTGCCCTCATTTGACAAAACGATGCTTTATTAAGCGCACGGCACCATTTGTGCGTGAGAGCTGCCCTTTCAGGATGTGCTGTGACATGCTTTTGCAGCAGGTGTTAAACATGAGATAAGGAGGACTTGTCATTTTTGTCGCTCCTGTGTGGTGACTGAGCAGAAACGAAGTTAACGGCTGACGTCATTCGGTATCCACTTCCTCTGAGCCGGCAGGAAGTCACCACCCTGGGCCCGAGCAGGATGTCACCATGTGGGCTTAGTTATCAGGGCAATGCACCGATGCCGCCCCGTGGTCCTTTGCACTGAGTCTCTCAAGTGGGGCAGCACGTAGGATCAGGAATCGCGGGGTTAGGAATGAAGCCCAGCGGGGTCACTCTGCCTGATCACTCATCATAGGTACCTCGTTTCCTACTAACGTCTTACAAAAACTCCTGTCTCACCTAACTACGGTGAAGTCCACTGGATACTTCTTGAGGCTCTTGTTTTCATGGATGCTCTTGTTAATTAGATAATTTCCCTGTGTCCTCAGCGATGGAGAAAATCCCAAACCTTCCAAATTCTGCCATAGCAGAACATCATATGCACGTTCAAGGATTCAACCAATGTTGCCAAAGATACAATAACTAATCATACAGTCATAAAAGATAAGGGTTGAAGGGAGCTCAGAAGGTCACATCTAGTCCAACCCCTGCTCCAAGCAGGACCAGCCCCAACTACATCATCCCAGCCAAGGCTTTTTCAAGCTGGGCCTTAAATACCTCCAAGGATGGAGAGTCCACCAGCTCTCTGGGTAACCTGTTCCAGTGCTTCACCACTCTCCTAGTGAGACAGTTTTTCCTAATATCCAACCTCAACTTCCCTTGCTGCAGCGTGAGCCCATTGCTCCTTGTCCTGTCATCTGCCCCTACTGAGACCAGCCCAGCTCCATCCTCTTTGCAGCCCCCCTGCGGGGAGGTGACGGCTGCTGTTCAATCCCCCTCGGTCTTCTCTTCTGCAGACTCAATCAGCCCAGTTCCCTCAGCCTCTCCTCACCAGTCCTGTCCCCCAGCCCACAACCATTGTCATTGCCCTCCACTGGTCTCTCTCCAACGTGTCCACATCCTTTCTGCAGTGGGGGGCGCACAGCTGGACACAGGACACCAGATGTGGCCTCCCCAGTGCTGAATAGAGGGGAAGGATCACTGCCCTCCGTCTGCTGGCAACGCTCCTGCCAATGCAGCCCGGGATGCCGCCAGACATCCACTCCAATCTTATTGCAATGATAGCTGTCACGCGGGCCACTGGACATGTACTTTCATTGGCTTATTTCCCTGGCTCCAAAAAACAGATGCTGTGACAGCGGTCTGCCACTACCATTTTTGCATCACTGACTATAACTTTGACCCCCCTTTTCCCCGCAATCCAGGTCTTGTCACTCGCCTGAGGTATCCGGTTTGTTCCTGGAGAGAAAAGGCCCCTGTCACTGCAGGTTTGAGCTATGGTACGTGCTTATTCATTCACTGACTCCTGAGACAGCTTGTTCATCCCTCAGTAAGGAGCTTCGCTCTGTGGGCCTGAATCTCCAGACAAAAACAAGTCAATATTGAGTTTTGAAGTGAACACTACACGAGGCCTTTCGTGCTCCCAAGGTGCCAGTGGTGCTGATGTTGCTGAGAGTCGATGGCTGCATGTAGACTTTCTATTGCTGTTCACTGTTTCCGATATAGTGGATGATAGTGATGTTAATGGCCATGGCTTTTGTAACCCCTAAAGGCTCCAGCCAAGGTCAGAGGTCCACCATACTAGGGTCTGAGCAAGACACAGTCGCTGCCCTGCAGATTTTACACTCTAATTACACTCTAATTAATGCAGAGAGACATATGCTTGTATAAGCAACAACTTACTTCAGCTTAGTCGACTTGTCCAAGATCACACAAAAGGTTGGAGACAGAGACGTGACTCGGTGCTGGATCTAAATCCAAGCTCTCATCTCAGCCGCAAGACCTGCCTAGGTACAGATCTTTACTTCTCTTTCTTGTCTTCCTATCCACAGGAAAATGGGTCATAAATCCTTATGAGCTCACATTCATTCAGGAGATCGGCAGCGGCCAGTTTGGGGTGGTCCATCTGGGCTACTGGATTGGGAAGACTAAAGTAGCCATCAAGACCATTCGTGAAGGAGCAATGTCGGAAGAGGACTTCATCGAGGAGGCACAGGTCACCATGTACGTAGGCTGGTATATTCTGGTGTGTTCCCACTCTGGCTGAGAAAAAAAATAAAAGCACCCAGGGTTCACCTTGATGGGCAGGAAATCTTTATGGCAGTTGTTAAATAAACCATGCTTCACATGCTGGCTTGCTGGTTAGAAAAATATATATAAAGTTGTCAGCTCAGGCAGTTCCTGGAGATGGGCATTCAAATGCTAATATGAATTTCAGTACCTCCAAAGCTCTTCCAGCTCCTTGCTTTTCTATAATATTTTTGTAAAGGGGGAAAAGAAGCTTTTAGCAAGGCTTTTCACTGGGTTTGGCTCCTTCCTGGATGGTGGCATAGACAAACCCTCGACACCTTTGTGCTGCCCTGTTTAACATACCAAATCTTGGAGATACCGTGATCCAGGGCCTGAGTTTGATCCCCGTTACAGCGGCATGACTCAAAAATAGCTCCACTTTGCTGCATCAGTTGCAGCAAACTAGCATGAGGTTGGATCCAACTCATAAACTTCCCCTTCTGTGCTTTCCTGCTTGGCTCTCGTCCCCAGCAAGAGATGCCAAAGGCCAGCAGAGGAGGGAGGCAGTGGTGCCGACAAAGGCTGCAATTGTGTATTGTCCGGGCCATGTTTGCGTGACACTTTCTCCAAGGACAGCAAAGGATAATGTTGGTCTCCGCTCCTCTGCCCCCACCTCTCCTGCAGGAAACTGTCTCATCCCAAGCTGGTGCAGCTGTTCGGGGTGTGCATGGAGCAGGCCCCCATGTGCCTGGTGTTCGAGTTCATGGAGCACGGCAGTCTGTCCATTTACCTCCGGACCCAGCGAGGCAGCTTCTCCAAGGAGACTCTCCTGGGCATGTGCCAAGACGTGTGTGAAGGGATGGCTTATCTGGAGGAGAACCATGTCATTCACAGGGACCTGGTATGTCTACAAAGCCTCTTGTTCTCTGGGCCAGCCAGGGCTTGCTCAGTCCTCAGGCTTCCCCTTTCCCACACATCTAATGAAAGAGCAGCTGCTGCCGGACAACACCCTCCCATCACGGCTGGCGCCGATGACTGTGAGGCCATTCATGCCTCAGAGCCGTGAAGATGCCAGAGGTGCCCTCCAGCCTACGCTGGCTGTGCGCACACTCACACGTCTGCAATCATCCCTGACACTGCCCCATGGTGCCCACAGCCAAATGCAGCTTCCTGCTGCGGAAAATCACTTAGTTTTCACAGAGTTGTGTGCTGCTGTTGCACGTTCCAGCAGCGATGAGGATTTTCATCATAGGAAATTCAGCTTGGAAGGGACCTCAGGAGTCACATCCAGTCCAACCCCCTGCTCCACGCAGGACCAGCCCCAACTACATCCTCCCAGCTAAGGCTTTGTCCAGCTGGACCTTAAAAATCAATGGTGGCAGAATGACCCTGATTGCTGCTGATTTCAGACGACTGGATTATTCTTGGTCTGTGGGTGCACTCTAGGCTTTTTCTGTATCCTTCATGGATGGGAAAAGGCAAGGAATGAGCAGCTTACAGGTCACACTTCCCCCATGGATGTGCTCAACAAGAAGACAAACACGGGGAAATCAAAGCAATGGGGCAGGGTGGGGTTTCCATATTCTGGCCCCTCTCAACGTGCTTTCACCCCCTCCTGTGCAGCTCTCCCGAATATCGTCTGCCTACAAGAAGAGCGGCAGATGTGTGAGCAGGCCCAGGTCATTACTGTTAATTGTCTTCCTTCTTCTCTCCCTCCCTCGCAGGCAGCTCGAAATTGCTTGGTAGGAGAATCCCAAGTGGTCAAAGTGTCAGATTTTGGGATGTCAAGGTGAGGCTGCTCAGGGGACACACGTGTCGCATGGCATGGGAGTCCCAAATGGCCTGCGGCACTGAGCATGTCCCCTTGCTTGCCTTCTCCAGGTACGTCCTCGATGACCAGTACACCAGCTCTACCGGCACCAAATTCCCTGTCAAGTGGTCCGCCCCAGAAGTCTTCTCCTACTCCAACTACAGCACCAAGTCGGACGTGTGGTCGTTTGGTAAGACCCTCCTCTCAGGATGGGGGAAATGCAGGATGCTTCAGCTCAGATAAAACCCTCCTGGGCTCAGTCCCGTGGCATATTGCTCATGGGTTTTGCTTGGAGAAAAGCTTGCAGAGAGGCAACTTAATCCTCAGAGCCGTAGGAAAGTACCAGCAAACTCCACCGGCGTGGTGAGATGCAGTGGACACAGCACCTGTGATTGCTGCAGCAAGGCCTCGTGCAGCTTTGCAGCCACGTCTCTACCTCGGGAGGCATGGACGGCAGCATCCAAGAACGGGGCAGCAATGCCTGACCAGGGTCCCTGAGGGGAGGAAGGCAAGAAGCTGAGGCAGCTCCAGTATTGCCATTCAGAGCTCACTGCCCCATTGCTAACTCCACTGATTTGGGGTGCCTCTAAAACATCATATAACAGAGGTCGTCCCCTGGCCTGGTGCTCTTTCCTATGAAAGTGTTTGATGGACATCCAGCCAGCCGGGTTGTTGCAGCACGGCTGAATGAATCAGTGCAATGTGCTGCGCGTGGCCTGCCGTCAGTGGGCTGACTCACAGCACCAAGTGCTGGGCCTGAGACTAGCTTGTCATATCAGTTTAATTTGTCCTGATAGGTACTTTGAAGCCTGTTAGCTTAGGCACCTGGATTAGGGATGTATTGCAACTCCAAAGACAGTTGGTACCTGTATTTCTCAGACTCCTCTGAAAAGCCAAGGTTGAGATTCTCCATCCAGTGCTGTGAGCGCCCTGTCAGCACGCAGCAAATACACAGAAAAGAAGAACAATTGATACTGGAATTGGCCACAGTGCCCTACAGCATCCTGGCCATAGTGTAGTGGCAACATGCAAAGAAATGGGCTCTGAAGGAAAAGTGTAGCTATATTTAGTCTGCAGAAGAGAAGACCGAGGGGGATTGAATAGCAGCCTTCACCTCCCTGCAGGGGGGCTGCAAAGAGGATGGAGCTGGGCTGGTCTCAGTGGGGGCAGATGGCAGGACAAGGAGCAATGGGCTCAAACTGCAGCAAGGGAAGTTGAGGTTGGATATTCGGAAAAATCTCTCTCATTAAGAGGGTGGTAAAGCGCTGGAACAGGCTCCCCAGAGAGGGGGTGCAGTCTCCATCCTTGGAGGTGTTTAAGACCCAGGTAGACAAAGCCTTGGCTGGGATGATGTAGTTGGGGCTGGTCCTGCTTGGAGCAAGGAGTTGGACGCGATGTGACCTCCTGAGGTCCCTTCAACCCTCACTTTCCATGAGTCTATGATTTCTACTTCACAGCTGAGAAATTAGTATGACATCATTTTCCATCTAATATTATCTGTTTCATGGCTGGATTTTATCCACAAAACTGTACATCACCTTTCATTATCTGCACCATCTTGTACAGCCCAGTCGAGTAGTGTTGACTTAGTCTTGTTTCAGGACAGAACGAGGTGTTTTATGGGGCTTGTTTGCATTGCTCAGCTCTCCTCTGTGAAATCTGCAGACGACGGCATTGTGAATCCGTCTGACTTATTATCCCTGCCTACAGTGGGGTTTGCAGAAGAGGATTCCTCTGTACTGTCATGGCATCATGGCTCTGGGATTCTTTCTGCTCTGCTGTGCTGCGGCCCATTTGTCTGCTCTGCTGGGATTGAAATCATCCTGCTGTGACCAGGCTGAGAAAAAACTGGATGTGGGAACTGGCTTCCCAGCCCTAGGAATCTGCACGTCATGGGAGTTGAAATACTTAGTTTATTCTGCAATAAAGCCAATGTTACAGGCCAGGACCAGCATCCCAGATGTTTTAGAATGGTTTAAATACCAATGACCTTCTGCCTGGTTAAGAACTGGCAGCTGGGAACAAAACTTTGTTTAGCAGAATTTAATGTGTAGTGACATGCATTTGTTTCAGGGCCCATCGCCATCCCTCCCTCAAATAACTTTCTTGGCAGGATAAGGAGAAACTCGCACATGTATTGCCAAAATAACCGTATCAGGTGACTAAATCAATCAAAGCTACCAGCAACCAAACCACATTTTACATTGTGTTTGCTCTCGGATCTGGTAGCCAGCTGCTGCAGATGTTGTAGTCAGATGTCAGTGCTTTTCTCTCTTCTGCGCTGCTGCAGCCCTGGACTTGCTTATTCTTGTGTCTTTCTCCAGGTATGACAAGACAGTGCGTTTCCAGGGATCATTTCTGCTGTTCAGCCAGTCCAAAGCTGCACCGAATATATGCTGCACCTTTAATACAGCAATAACGCTTCTCCATTCTTCCCAGTCTTTTGCAATATTTGTACAATCAGTCCGGTTTATGCCCATCCACTCTTTGATGTTGGTGGTTCAACTTGTCCGAGGTCTTCCTCTTCTTCATCCATGCACAGCACCCTGCAGGATGGTGTTGGCAATGCCTTCTTGTTACATGTCCAAACCAATGAATATTTCTTCTTATGATTTCAAGTAAGGGGTCATATTTGCTGACTTTTGTGTCTGATTGCATCTTCCGCAGATTCAGTTGTTCTGTGTGCAGTGCAGGGCATGTGTAGAAGTCTTTTGAAGGACTGTGTTTCAAAGGTCTCGATTCACTTTTCCAGTACCTTCGTGAGCGTCCAGGTCTCATAGCCATAGAGAATTGTTGAAATGACAACAGCATGTATTAGGTCGACTTTCGTCGTCATTGTGATGTTGCTGCTAGTCCAGATTTTCTTCAGCTTTGCTAGTTGTCCAATGGCTATTCTTGTTTTCACTTCTTTTTCTGATGTTGTGATACTTTGAATACTTGGAGCAACTCGGTTGCTCCAAGTATTCGAAGTGTGTTACTTTTTCTAGCTTCTCATTACCAATGTTGACTGATGCATCTGCTGTTCCAGTGATCTTTAATACTCTGGACAGGAATCCCAGCAAATTAGTGTGGTGCTTATGAGGAGGCAAAATATGTACGGTGATCCCTTCAAAAGTCCACTGCTGTTTCTCATGACTTCACTGCAGTTCAACACAAGCTGCTGGTAGACGGTTCCCATAGCAGGGACTAATAATAGGGTGGCTAACCAGCCCGGACCACATCAAATCTTATGTCTTTGGAGGGAGTGAGGAATGCAAAGAAAACATAGAGGATCTGGGGGTTGGGGAGAGGAAGCCAGACACTTGCTATGAGGGAATTCATGGCTGCTATTAATTGCTCCTCCTGCTTCCCCTTGGTTTCAGGAGTGCTCATGTGGGAGGTCTTCAGCGAAGGCAAAATCCCTTACGAGAACCGGAGCAATGCGGAGGTGGTGGAGGAAATCAATGCTGGGTTCCGGCTATACAAGCCCAAGCTGGCTTCCAAGGTCATTTATGAGCTGATGAATTGCTGCTGGAGGATGGTGAGTGCTGCTGTGAGCATACCTTAGTTTGTACCGGAAGGTCAATATTCTCCCTTTATCCTTGGTCTTCCCCAGGAAGAGAGCTGTGCTGCTAGCCTGAGTTCACTCTTACCAGGTAGCACCCAAGGGACCAGGCGGGCTGCAATTTTCACATGGGTCAGGGGGTTGAGTTAAGACTTAAGTCTCCCCTATAGCTTTTAATATGACTTGCAAACCCATGAGGAGTCTCCCAATGGCCTCATCTTGCCTGGGATTTTTGCTTGCTTTTGACTATTTTGCAGTAGGCACTTGCCATTTCTCCCAGCAAAGCTGCATCCCAAAGGAGCTGATCCCAGTGCAGAGAGAGGATGTCACACCCGGTGGTTTCTGAGAAAGTCGGCCGTTTGGGGGTCAAACCTGTGGTCAGCAGAAAAGAGATGCTAGCACTGGCTTCCTACAACGGCTTTGCTCCCACTTTTGCTTTCTTTTTTCCCCTGTGAGAGCTGATTTCATTTTCATGAGGCCTCCCTTAACATTTTTGCTAGCTGACCAGTCATGAGGTTTCAAGTCTTCTCCCTCTTATCCCTGCCGTGCTTTGCAAGACAGAGTTTAATGCTGTTTCTTTCTTTCCCATTGCAGAGCAAAGAAGACCGGCCCCGCTTCTCCACCCTGCTCTACCAGCTGAGTGAAATCTCTGAACTCGACCTGTGATCAGCGCACTGGCCCATTGAATGGGGCTGACAAGAAACCTGAGAGAGCAGACTACAAAGTTTTCCCTTCATAAAGCATTAGCACAAGCCCTCCCACCAGAAGCACTGATGACAGACAGGGGGAGGCAGGCATCTGTACTTCTAGCCAAGCCAGGCATCTTCAAGAGCTCAGGGTTGCGAAGACAAATGCAATTGCTTGGGTTGGGGAGCATATGCTTACGGATCTCACAAACAGGCCCAGCTACATAGCAGAGATCCTATAGAGACAGCTTATCTGCTCAGTTTTTCACAAAGACAGCAACTACGGGTGCATGTTCTCAGACAAGGTATCTGGCTACAACCCTGGAAACTCTCTAATGGAAGGAAACCTTTCGCTAGCCCTGTCAAGTCTCTCTGCATTGAGAAGCATTCAGGTTCTTCCATATTCACCATAAGTCACAGCCAGTCTGGAGCTTCGTCTTCTCGCAAGGCAGAAATGGATGATCTGAAATGAGACCTATATGAAGGGACAGGAGTCCTGGCTAGGTGTAGCTATTAAGACTGTTTTGCCTTCTCTTACAATAATTTCCTCTGAAGTGTAGCAAGAAACCCTTTTATCTCCCCAACACCTCTAATGTGAAGCTCCTCCATATGGCAAAAGCCCCTCTTTTAGTATTTGCCCCCTTTTGGAGATGTTTTCTCTTTTCTACCTTTTCTTCCTTCCTCCCTCTGTCTTTTATTATATTATTATTATTTTTATATAGGGTGCACTTGTAGTGAAAATAGAGCTTGTAGAAGCTTTTACAAATGTACTTTAAGTTTAAAAGTAAGTTGTACCATGTAACAATGTTAGCAAGAGCAGGAATCTCTGTATGGAGCAGGTCCCTGAATGAATCATGGTTGACTGTGTAACACAGTAGCTAGTCTGGATAAGCATGTTAATGAGCAGCAATTAACACCTACAAAATCAGAGACCAAGGAGAAGAAAGAATCAATAAAGAGCCAGGAATTCCTGGAAACTTCATTGTTAAAGGTACGGAAGCTCCTGTTTGAACTAATCAACGCTGGAAACAGACCCTTGGGGCTGAAATACCCCTGATCAACCACTTCCAGAGCTCTATTCATCACGACAGTGAATCAATCAAAATTCATCAACGGACTCCCGAGACTGCACGTACGTGCGGATGTGACCCCTGGGGCTGACAGCTGCCATCCAGCAGCTACCAAGAGGGGCGTCCCTTGAGGTCAACGAACCCTGGATTGGGTAAACCTGAGAATTGGGGAGTCACCGAAGTCTGCCAGAGAGGGATAAAAGGCAGCGAAGAATGACCCCCAATGGTGCCCTCTTCTACCTGACCAGCACCCCGCCTGTTGGGCCAGAAAGACCAGCCGGCGACCCCCTTCTGCAGCACTATCGCACTGAAAGAAGCCTCAACTGGCCATCGACGGCGGACTCCAGCGCTTGGGGATAGGTATATCTTGACACCAGCGCTTAGTGTTCAGAGCTAGCTACTGTGAGTGTGTGTGCGTGCGTGAATGTGTGTGTTTGAGGGGATCAGCACCAAGGTTTATGGTCTGATTTGTGCATCTGTCCAATAAACTAGAATTTTATAATGATCCTGTGAGTTGGTGCTTTGTAGCCAACATTATCTGGTGGAGAACACGGGCAAAATTCTGAGATCATTGAGGGATTGTGGTGATTGGGGATTGGTAATTGTGGAGACAGTGTCTCCTGATAAAGCCCACGTCCACAGAGGAGTGGGCATTGGGTTATAGCCACCCAAGAGGGCGGGCTTTGGTTATACACCCGATCTGCAGGACAGGGCAGGGCAGGACTCAGAATTTAGTAACAGACAGACCCCACGTCCGACCTGCGGGACAGGGGAGGGCCACATCCATGAGGGAGGGGGATTTGGTGAGCAAGTTCCTGTGAAGATTTGGGAGCGTGTGGGCTTGAGGAAATGGACTCTTGGGAATTGTTGAATTTTGTTGTCATTGTTTGGAAATAGTCTGTGGGGAGCGGGAGGGCTCGGACTTGGTTGTTTGTTCTGTTTTGTTGTTTGGGGGTAAGGCTTCAAGTATGGTGAGGAAAATGTCCCTGTTTAGGAAAAGGGCCCCTAAAGTGGGAGACCAAGAGGCTAGGTGGGTACGGAGGGAGGAAATTTCCCCCCTGCATAAGGAGATTCTGCAGGGTGGAGCCAGCCCATGGAGGGAGGATGTGTGCACCCCAGGCTTCTCCATAGGGGACATGGAGGACCAATTTGAAAAATTCTGTCTTGATGAGAGACCCTCGGCTCAGAGGCAACGCAGTGCCTTCGTCTGGCTACTGTGGCATGCTGTAAAAACAGCGGTTGAGGGTAAAGCTCAGCGAGCTTCTGAAATTGAGGAAAAGGAGGGGCAAATCCAAATTCTCATAGATAAATATGTCCAATTGGAAACCAGTAATCAGGCTCTAAAGGGGTTGTCCCAGAATCTGGAACATGAGAATGAGCAATTGAGAAAGACAGATCCAGACAATGCCCAACAATTGGAATCATTGGACCAAGAAAAGGCAAGCCAAGAAGGCTTGCAAAAATTGGTAAAGACAATGTCTAAAGACCAAGCTGAGACAGGAGCCAAAGTAAACTATGGCCCCTGTCTAAATACCATTAGCCACTTGAAAAAGGAGCTCCAGGAGCGCAGCCTGCAAGCAGCAGCTGTCATCCGGGGACATCAAGCCTGGGATCCAGACATTCCCTTCAATCCGGGAGAGATTTGGGGTGGGGAGATGTGGGAAGACCCAGAGGACACAGGGGATCCCTCCTCTAAAGACCCTAAGTCTGAACAGGAGAGCACCCTGGTACCTGCGGTGAGCGCAATCACGCGGACCTCAGTTACTCCGGATGCACGAGGCAACCCTAGGGAGACCACACAAGTGACTGTTCCCCTTAGTGGAGCTGATCTAGCCACCCTGGGTAAGACCCTGGGACCTGCTAACATTAGGAATTTGGGGCAGTGGTTGCAGAAATCCCTGAATGTAGTGGAGTGTGAAACCCTGAGTACCCGTGAATGGCACTGCCTATGAAGGGCTTGTGCCACCCCGGAGGTTCAGGCAGCAATGAGCCCTGAGAGTGGCTTTGGGGTAGACACTATTCCCCGGAGTGTAATGGATTTGGGAATTTATCTAGGGAGGAAAACGTTTAAGGGACAATTTAGGGCAAATCATCAGACCCCTGGGGAGCCCGTGAGGGACTATGTAATCCGATGTGTCATGTTGGGGCTGCTGTCAGGGTCAGTGCTGCCCTTCAACAGGGCAGGCAACCAGACACATGATATAAGAGATACAGATAACCCCCCGGGGTTTTGGAAGGAGGTGCAGGAGGGCATGCACCAGTCTATAATTGGGCTAATGGGGCCACTCTGAGAAGCCCAGACTTATACGCTGGGGGAAGTCCTAGCCTGGGCTCAGGATGCAGAGTGATTAGTTGGACGACAAGGGGGGTGATTGCAGCCACCCAGTTCAAAGAAAAGCCCAATGACACACTGAGTTATGTGGTTACTTAGTCCAATGAGAGCACGTACCCCAAATCTGACTGGAGGGGTGGGGGTCCAAATCAACGCAGCCTGCACTGGGTTAACTCAAGAGTAACAAGGGAAAGAGGGGGACAGTGGGATTTGGGCAGCAGTGTAATGGGATTCAGACAGCATTTAATGCAGCACGGGGAACCCAAAGAAAAGTGGAATGGGAAGCCTCTGGCCGAGCTGCTTGTCAGGATGGCAGAGCTGAGCGCGGCAGGAGCAGCACCTTCCCCGTCTAAAAGAATTGCAGCCTCAGCACCGGTCCCTGAAGAGCACTGACGGGAACACCGTGGCGGGACCCATAAGCAAAGCCAAGGCTCATGGGAAAAGTTGGGGATCCAGGAGGGGGACCTAGAGTACCCATTACGGTGGGAACCCGAGGGCATACCTGTGCACTCCTGGATACCAGAGCTGCACTAAATGTATTTGGGAGAAAATGTGACCTGAACCAGTTTGAAACCAATGGAATCATACTCCGGTCCTTCGCGGGGCAGGACGCAGCCGGGGTTGCGTGTAAGGGGGTAACTGCATGTGTCCACTTCCCAGAGGGACCCCAAGAGATCGATATAGATGGAGTTCAACAAGAGGGCTCCACTCAACAGCTGATTCTGGGAGCCCCCTCGTTCAACCGGGAAGACTAGATCCTGGATCTGGCCAGTGGGGTTGTGTGGCAGATAGGGGGGCCCTTGCCACCGGGGTATCCAGCACAAGCTGCTGAAGTGCGAGCCATAAGGGAGCTCCTTGAACAGCATAACCCACCTGAAGGGAAACTGGATCTACACCGATTCAAACTTCTGTGCTAATGCTCTGCTACGTTGGGTATACAACTGGAACAAAGCTAATTGGCATACCGCTGATGGCAAGGAAATTGTTCAAAAGACTGACTGGCAGGCAATTTGGGAATGGATTCAAAGATATCCATCCTCACTATGCATTCGACATGTGAAGGGTCATCACAAGGCTGACACCTTAGAAGCCAAAATGAACCAATTAGCAGAAGCTGCAGCAAAGAAAGGGGCACGGGAGGATATCTCAGCAATACAAACCTGGTCCTTGAGCCACCAAAATTGGAAAATTCAGGAGAAGTATGCTGTTCATCAGGGAACTGGGGAGGTTAGATGGGTGCCACCCTCGGATTGCAGAGGGGAAATTATTAGTGCCTGTCATGGTCTCAAAGCCACTGCAGCCAGGGTGCAGGAGATTGCTTACTGGCCAGGGATATCTAAAGATGTCAAGGAGTGAGTGCAGAAGTGCTTACGCTGTGCAGGGGAGGATGCGAAACCAAAAGGCACGGGGCAACTGCGGGATTCGGGCCCATGGCAACGAATCCAAATGGATTACATTGAAAAGCTTCCCTGCACAGCCAGGGGAAACCCGTATCTGCTGGTGATCATAGATTCCTTCAGTGGATGGGTCGAGGCATTCCCCATGCACATGCACACTGCTGAAGCCACAGCAAAAAAGCTGTGGACAGCAGGTTTGGGGCCCCTAAAATGATTGACTCAGACCGAGGTCTTCATTTCACCGGAGCTGTTGTCAAACAGCTGCCGCAAGCCTTAGGCATCAGGCAGAAGTGGCACATCCCTCACCACCCTCAAGCATCTGGGCAGGTAGAGCGGATGAATAGGACAATTAAGAAGTCATTAAGGAAGGTGGTAAATCAAACAGGTACAGATTGGGATCTTAAACTTCCTTTGATCTTAGCTGCTTTCCGGAGCAGGAACTGCTTGGGAACTGCTTGGGAACCAGCCTCCAGCCCTACCAGATCCTATTTGGCAAATGGATGGCTCTAATACCCTCCCATACCCAGACAGCCTGGACAACCTACAGAAATTATTGAAAGGGTAAAAGAGCTCCCATATCATTTGAGCCAGCAGGAGCTGCAGATTAATGAGGCTATTCAGCAAGCTCGGCTGCGGATGGACAAGCAGCTCGAAGAGCTTCCCAGGCTATGGGAAATTGGATAGTTGGTCATGTATCTTAGACTCACCCCAAAGGCACATGTCCTAGAGTCCACATGGGTCAGACCCTTCACTATCATTAATCCATTGAGCCCAACTGTGGTCCAAATTGATAAAGGAG